GAGATGATGAGAAATCAGTTTGATTTCATGATAATATCTCTGTAAGGTCAAATGAAAGATGATCTGGGAGATAAGAATGGCCGTACTGTGTCAGACCAAAGGTCCATCTAGCCAGTGTCCTGTCTTCTAACAGTGTCCAATGCCAGGTGCCCCAGAGGGAATGAACAGAACAGATAATCATCAAGTGATCCATCCCGTCGCCCATTCCCAGCTTCTGGCAAACAGAGGCTAGGGACACCATCCCTGCCCATCATGGCTAATAGCAGACATCCCCTTTCTTTAATTTTCCTCTAATACACGTGCTAGTTGCATAAGCTGTTATTAGTCAGCCATTGTTTAGCATGAACATGTGATAAAGCTGGGATACCCTCTGTACTCCATCACTTTTGGCATGATCTATAGAGCCGCTGGGACTTAGGTGCTTGTTTGTCATGGTTGGTAAGGAGGGAATCCAAATTATACTATTTGCCAATATTACTTTTGAAAAATTTAGAACAGAGAAGTTGACTGGCATGTCAATTCCAAAACCAATTCTAATAAACCCTCATAACTGTGTTTGCATGAGTTTGGTTTTCTAGTATTTCTATTTGGTAGTGAAATGCTTTGCTTTTTAGTCCATCTAAGGCAGTAATTCTACAATGTTCCTTTGAGCAGACAAGTCAACATTCTGAAAAGTGACTAGTGATTTTGGGTGCCATACTTGAGACACCTTGAAGAGGCCTGACTTTCAGAGGATGACTGTTCAGCAATTTCTAAGAATTGGCACCCCTAGGCTATCTCAAGTTAGGCACCCAAAATTGAGGCAGTTAAAATCACTAGACACTGGAATAACCTGACGAGGACTGGCTCTCCTTGTTTCAGCTGCTAAATGTCAATAAAAGAAGCTCAAACTGGAATAAATTATTTGAAAATGTTTATTTTCCATATAAGCCATTGCTGAGGTTCCCAATGGGATGGGAGGTGTCTGAACAATCTGTCCATTAAGATGTGGTCTCTACTATGTAAAAGTTCTTGATTGCCTGATCTAAGGTATTTCTAGGCTACCCATCACATTCTTGCCACAGCTTGAAAGCTGTGCTCTCTCCAACTCTTTGTCACTCTTTGTTTCTTTATCACTCGTAACACAGTTTAGACTAGCTAGGATTTCAATTCAAATGGTCAGTTAGCATTTTATATATGATATCTCTGTACCAAGAATAGTCTCATCCTCATCTGCCCTATTAAGAATTGACCAACTGGAGCTTCTTCTGTCTTTCCCTCCTGGGTAAATTGTATCTAATTGAAAATTATTCCCTCCCTCCCCCGTCCTGCTACCCTCATACACATTTGATATATCATCTAGAGGTTACCTGTGGTTATTTCAGCAAAGGATCATCAGGTCTTGGATAAAACTTGGGGATTTTCTTTGGGGAGGCAAGAAGCCAAAGTTCTAACTGAGCAAAACAAAATTAAAAGTAGACCAGGTTGTCCTGATGTTATGTTTTACAAAGTACAGGGTTGGTTGTTTTGGGGATGGGTGGTGGACTTCTGCTATAAGGGCATTGCAGCTATCAAAATACAATTTACACAATCTGAAATTTACAGCTGGGATATAATCCCTATTGAAATTCCTTCTTCGTTTTCAATGTTATATTTTATAACAATCTCCATTTTTTTTGCCATGCATGTAGGCACATGCAGCATCTTAGAAATGTTCAGAACTTGGTTTGTACAGTCTTTCACTTGATTCTCTATTGCAAGAATTTTTTTCTTAATAAAGAACCTGAAATGCTTTTTTAAAAAGTACACGAAGATCCCAAATCAATAATGGGGCACTGAAAATGTCCTCATTTAAAAATAATGGTTTTACACATTAGAACTACAGCATGATCTGAAACAAACTTTGCATTATAATATCCCATGAACTCTGTGGAACTTTGTATTTAAAGCTGAACCGCACAGTTGGCTGCTGTGTCTCTAATGGGCAGAACATAACCTTGGACCTGAACTTTCCCAAAGTTTGGAGTTCTTCCGATATGGTGCCAAACTTTCCATTCAGGCCTATCTCCAGTTAGTAACTGACTTCAGGCACTCAGTCTGTCCTTGTTTCTTGGGCAGCAGCTGATACCATCACAATAACCTAGGCAGGGGCTCATCTTCCTCAGGGATTTATTTTACAATATGACCTTAATATCCTTCAAGCAGTTGTCAGAAAATGGGAAATGGTCATAGGCTGGAGGAGGCAGTACAAACCTAGGGCCAGTCACATAACACTGAGCAGACTGTTTATTATTAAAAAACAAAGCACAAAACAGTTTTAATGTAATCACTTTCATTTTTATTATTTTTTCCTCCTTTCTCAGTGTATCCCAAATTCCAAGACAGAAGCATTTAAAATACAAGCAGATGATGCTTTCTAGAAGTTCAGCTTTTTCAAAGCATTGATTGTCCAGGAGTTGCACAATATTTTAGTTGGGTCATTTTTTTTTTTTAACACCTTGAAGAAAAGACATGAGGAGCAGTGTGTGGCTCAGAGGAGTTGCAAAAGGCTGTGTTTAAATCTAGGTTTACCTCACTGGCTGTATAATGGGAGTCTCAAGAAGAAAAGAACAAAACAAAACAAACCTGGAACAGCAGGTGTTGCGTGTCAAGAATTGGGAGTGCACTGGCAGAAATGTGTACAATTTTGCTTGGCACCTAACTATGCTATGCGGGATATTCTGCCACATTTACTCAGATTAAGTAGTACATAATTATAGGAGTAGCCCCACTGAAATCAATGAGATTATTTGCAAAGCAAGGTACTCATGTTGAGTAGTTAAGGTGGCAGCAACTGGTCCTTTAACCATATCAGTATCTATACAGCACTCTTCATCTATGGATCTCAGAATGCTATTAGTCCCTATGTTGTACATAAATTCTTACAAAAAGTCTGAAATTCAGCAATTAAAAAAATAGCTTTGGGCCAAAAGATTGGGATTGGAAGGTTTTAGCTACATTTTTCCTCCTCTGAAATGATCCACATCCATTTGGTTTGGTATAAAAATACAAAAATATGCTGCACACATGTTAAGGTTGCTCTTCTATGACGGTGACTTAGGCCTGGTCTACACTAGGGCGGGGATCGATCTAAGTTACGCAGCTACGTGAATAGCGTAGCTGAAGTCGACGTATTTAGATCTACTTACCGCGGTGTCTTCATTGCAGTAAGTTGACGGCGGATGCTCCCCCGTTGACTCCGCCTGCACCTCTCGCGCTGGTGGAGTACCGGAGTCGATGGGAGAGCACTCGGGGGTCGATTTATTGCGTCTAGACTAGACGCGATAAATTCACCCCCGCTGCCCGTCGATCCAGCAGGTAATGTAGACAAGCCCTCAACAATAGCAAGTGATACTGGCCTGCCACCTATTCCATGTGAAGTGGCTGCATTGGGTCATACCTTTGCCTCCCTCCATGGCATGGGCGCTCAGTCACAGGAGCAGAATTTTGCCACAAAGTTATTCTAACCAAGAACTGGAATTTTCCTTCATAGAGACTTGCCACAAAGTCAGAGAGAAGCTCTGTGATAAAAAGCACCACCTTCATTTTGAAAAAGAATATATGCAAACATGGCTACACAGCTCAGTCTAAGAGGCTGATTCTTGTGTGCTGCAGGAGTAAACCAGAAAAGGTCCGAGGCCCTCTGACTCTACTGCATGCTAGGAAATCAGCTGAAAACATATTTTCTAATACCAAGCATTGCATATAGGATTACATTCTCTGCAAATGCTGTACTCCATTTTTTCTACTGTTCGGTTTATCCATTTGTCTAATAGTATACTACGCTACTTTAAAGCACTGGAACTCTGGTAGAACTTCAAGACTAAATAAACCAAATCTTGATTTTTGCATTACAAGAATCTCCTTGAAACTATAATGAATTTACCTGGCAGTTTGATATGTGGCTAAATCCCTCCCACCTTAATCACATGACTAGTCCCATTGAAGTCAATGGGACTGGTTACAGTAATGAGATAATCAAGATTTACCATCTTTCTAGTTACCAGGTAGAATACAGTGATGACATAGTGCGTTCAACTCACTGATGGGCAGATGGGTAATGAGTTGGGTACTATTGCTACAGTGCTGTAAGTGTAAACACTACTTTATCCAATGTGTAAAAGACAGAGAGCAGACCTGTGTAGGATATCTCTCAAATAACTTATCTTTTTACATATAGGTTTTTAAAATGTCAAAAGTAAGTTTTTTTAGACAGAGTTGGAAACTCAGCCTGTAAGTTCTTGTACAGCAGCAACATTCAGAAACTGACACGCTGAACCTGCACATTAAAATGAAAAGTTCTGCATTAACATGTTTAAAAATTTGGTTTTTGCCAAGCAAGTTAGGCTGAAATTTTCAAACTTGAGTGTCTGAAGATAGGCACCTGAATGTATATTTAAGCATCAAGATACAGATTCCCTGATTTTCAGTGGTTCTGATCTCATTAACATCAGTAGCAACCGTGGATGCTCAGCTGTTTTGGAAATCAGGGATGTAGATGCCTAACTATAACGACTCAAGTTTGAAAAATTTGGCTTTAGCTACAAAGACATTTTATTAAAAAAAAAAATAGCCAACTTTCATTGTCTCCGATTACAGTGTCTGAAATGTAATTAAAGTAACAATTAATAGAGCAATGTGTCTATGGCAAAAGCTGCACACTAACTGACATGGAAAAAAACTGCAAAATCTGTAGCTCTTGAAAGTAATTAGAAATCTGTAGCATTCCACAGATACTTCACATTCGGCTCCTGGAAAGTTTTACCAGGCAACTTAAAACTTTATTATAGTATTATCATGTTATCGTTGCCACTGATATGCTTTTCAAGCTGATCTGAGGAAGACTTTATGTTATTAACACTGCAAATCTTGACTATTTCAGATTTACTTTCCACCTCTCCAAATCCCCCCATTTTGGCTCAAGCACCACTGACTAGACTTGAACATATTTTTAAATACAACAAAAATATGAAGCCAGAGAATTGGTTCTTTTATCCTTTTATATGCACTTTTGGACTAGGTTACAAAAAAGACTTTAGGACATTTTTTTCTTAAAATTCTCTTTATAAAAGTCATCCTGAATTACTCATGGGACTAAGCCATTGGCAGGTCATGGTAAGCTGCATATCTGCCAGTCACATGATGGTAAATCTGCAAGGAAAAGGAGAATTTCTAATGGTATCATACACAACTAAAAATTAAAAAGGTATCATTAGCCAACAAATTCATGACATGTTGAGGGGCAGTTGGGTGTAAATATATTTTAAAATGAGAGAGAGAGTGTGTGTGTGTGTGTGTGTGTGTGTGTATATATATAGGAAGAGTTCTATTGACTATAATGGGCTTCAGATCAGACCCATGTTGAATATAAAATGTACTTTTTATTTATATCCCTCTTCCCCACCTATCATATGCTCCTGGTAGCTTTAGAGAGTGTAAACTCTATGGGGCACTAGGAGCAGATGAATACTCTAGAATGGGTGTAACACAGCTCTCTCCCCTATGGCTGTTCAGTAGCAAGAGGCAAAATCTCCTTCTGTATGCTGCTTCTACTGCAGAGGGCTGAATCTTACATCATTGGCATGGCAGGCAAGCAGTTCCTAGGCATAGCAGGCAGGTACCAATATCTGGCCACATCCCTCCTTTGCTAACACATTCTCACTTCCTGCAGGGTGAGAAACAAACATGGCATAGCTGCAGGCTTTGGAGCTCAGCAGCAGTGGAGTGACTCTGAGTGGTGGAAAGCCAGCAGAGCAGATTCCCTCTGCTCAGCACTGTGAGCCTGGCCCACGTAGCTGCCTAGGGAGGCAATGCAGACTGATTGGATCATGGAAGCCCCCTAATGACTCCCTGTAGCAACAAGCTAGATTTAAAGACATCCAGCAGGGAAGCAAAATTGTAGTTCTTAAGTAATTAGAAGTGTGCTCCATTATCCTTGAAATGGTGTAGAATACATATTTCATGAAAGCAATAAGCAAACTTTTTCCAGAAAAATGTTTTCTCTCAACCAAGATTGGAAGGAACCTCCTGGGACCTCAAATCCAGTCCCCTGCTATCACAGAACTAACCTGTCTCTCGATATCGGCCAGCAACGTACTGGCACCTAGGCGAAAGAGGTCTGGTTTCAGCCACTCATCTCCTAACTCCTCCTTCATCAATATGAGCCAGGTAAGAGCATCCTTTGCACTACGAATGCCTCCAGCAGGTTTAAATCCAACCTTAAGAAAAATGTAATACATAAAAAATGCTATTTATTTTCAGTGATTTGTCTTCATTTTAGGAGAAATGAAAATCTGCATATCTACAGCTGGGAAATGTCCCCAGTGTGCAGCCAAAACTCTGTTACGGGTTAGGTTCTAACTTTAGGCAAAGCCTTGAGCAAGCAATAGTGTGTAAGCGGGGCACCGACTCAGGAGTAGTCCTGGAGGGCTTTGTGCCTCAGACACCCCTATGAAAGGTACAATTCCCTCCCTGCTTCCGGACCCCCAATGAGATAGTGGGGTAGAGGCAAGACTGTCCGTTCCCAGTCCACCCACCCCCCACTCACATGCTCTGAGGAAAGAGAGAGACGGTATGTAATGTCTCTGACTCTTACAGGCCTGTTCCCAAGTTCTGGGTAGCTGACGTAGGGGTATAAAGGATGATTCTTATTCCTTTGCATAGGCACATAGTCACCGTCTAGTTCTAAATGTCTAATAATAAACACACACACAAACATCTCCTCAAAGATGTGGAAGTGAAGAGTTCTGTTTGCAATGGGAGTTAGTTATCTGTCAACAACTGAGAGGCTTCTATATTTTACTGAAAGCGTATGCATGATAATTATACGCTACCAGTCTGTACTTTTAAGCTATATTTAGTACACTAAAATTAATATACAGTTAATTGCCTAGATATAATAAATATTTCTACAGTGATGAACCAAGTTGGGTCCATCCCTGCTAGACATATGAAGTTTTGTTTGTTAATTTGGCAAATACTGTCATTCCAGAGAACATCCACAGAATGTGTTTTTTTATCAGAACTGAAATGTGAGGTCTGCAATATATGAAACAATGTAGATCTGAATTTAAACAATGCATACTGTGTTAAGAGAACGCATTCTGGGTCCTATGTCGGCTGCATATCCATACACTTTTAGAATTGCAGAATCCGTCCACATCACAGTCCTTAAGAGCCTAGGAGTTCCTACACCAGAATGGACCATTTATCCATCAAGTCTATTATCTTGCCTTCAGCAGTGGTCTACACATGTGCCTTGAAGCTTGAAAAGCAAAGAGAATCAGAAGCAGGCTTGCTGGTATTTGATGTAATGCAGGAACAATCTGGATAGTCTGCAGTGTAGTATATAGTATATAAGAGTAACAAGAAGGGTTTCTTCAGGTATGTTAGCAACAAGAAGAAAGTCAAGGAAAGTGTGGGCCCCTTACTGAATGAGGGAGGCAACCTAGTGACAGAGGATGTGGAAAAAGCTAATGTACTCAATGCTTTTTTTGCCTCTGTTTTCACGAACAAGGTCAGCTCCCAGACTACTGCACTGGGCAGCACAGCATGGGAAGGAGGTGACCAGCCCTCTGTGGAGAAAGAAGCGGTTCGGGACTATTTAGAAAAGCTGGACGAGCACAAGTCCATGGGCCCGGATGCGTTGCATCCGAGAGTGCTAAAGGAGTTGGCGGATGTGATTGCAGAGCCATTGGCCATTATCTTTGAAAACTCATGGCGATCAGGGGAGGTCCCGGACGACTGGAAAAAGGCTAATGTAATGCCCATCTTTAAAAAAGGGAAGAAGGAGGATCCAGGGAACTACAGGCCAGTCAGCCTCACCTCAGTCCCCGGAAAAATCATGGAGCAGGTCCTCAAGGAATCAATTCTGAAGCGTTAGAGGAAAGGAAAGTGATCAGGAACAGTCACCATGGATTCACCAAGGGCAAGTCATGCCTGACTAATCTAATTGCCTTCTATGATGAGATAACTGGCTCTGGATGAGGGGAAAGCAGTGGACGTGTTGTTCCTTGACTTTAGCAAAGCTTTTGACACAGTCTCCCACAGTATTTTTGCCAGCAAGTTAAAGAAGTATGGGCTGGATGAATGGACTATAAGGTGGATAGAAAGCTGGCTAGATTGTCGGGCTCAACGTGTAGTGATCAATGGCTCCATGTCTAGTTGGCAGCTGGTGTCAAGTGGAGTGCCCCAAGGGTTGGTCCTGGGGCCGGTTTTGTTCAATATCTTCATTAATGATCTGGAGGATGGCATGCATTGCACCCTCAGCAAGTTTGCAGATGACACTAAACGGGGAGGAGAGGTAGATACGCTGGAGGGTAGGGATAGGATACAGAGGGACCTAGACAAATTAGAGGATTGGGCCAAAAGAAATCTGACAAGGTTCAACAAGGACAAGTGCAGAGTCCTGCACTTAGGATGGAAGAATCCCATGCACTGCTACAGACTAGGGACCGAATGGCTAGGCAGCAGCTCTGCAGAAAAGGACCTAGGGGTTATAGTGGATGAGAAGCTGGATGTGAGTCAACAGTGTGCCCTTGTTGCCAAGAAGGCCAATGGCATTTTGGGATGTATAAGTAGGGCATTGCCAGCAGATCGAGGGATGTGATTGTTCCCCTCTATTCGACATTGGTGAGGCCTCATCTGGAGTACTGTGTCCAGTTTTGGGCCCCACACTACAAGAAGGATGTGAAAAAATTGGAAAACGTCCAGTGGAGGGCAACAAAAATGATCAGGGGACTGGAACACATGACTTATGAGGAGAGGCTGAGGGAACTGGGATTGTTTAGTCTGCGGAAGAGAAGAATGAGGGGGGATTTGATAGCTGCTTTCAACTACCTGAAAGGGGGTTCCAAAGAGGATGGATCTAGACTGTTCTCAGTGGTAGCAGATGACAGAATGAGGAGTAATGGTCTCAAGTTGCAGTGGGGGAGGTTTAGATTGGATATTAGGAAAAACTTTTTCACTAGGAGGGTGGTGAAGCACTGGAATGCGTTACCTAGGGAGGTGGTGGAATCTCCTTCCTTTGAAGTTTTTAAGGTCAGGCTTGACAAAGCCCTGGCTGGGATGATTTAGTTTGGGATTGGTCCTGCTTTGACCAGGGGGTTGGCCTAGATGACCTCCTGAGGTCCCTTCCAACCCTGATATTCTATGATTCTATAGTGGTGCTTTCACAATTCGCTCCACCCCAGGAAGATTCTCCTCAGAGAGCCCTGAGATCTTCCTGTTCCTTTTTTTCCTCTTAATCTGCTTTCTCCTTACACCCTCACCCCCTGAGAGGATTATCGTTCTGCTAAGTATTTGGAGAAGTTATATCCTGGAAAGCATGAATCCCATTTTCTATAGGATACAGTGAGATCAGTAAGAAAATGTACTGGAATTTAAAAAAAAAAAAATCATTGAGCTACGTATTTGGTAAAGATTATAGTAATTTAACAAAACAAACTTGTAGAAGAAGTATGTTTCTCTCACACTGAAGCATTCTAATAACACAATTTCTAAAAGATAAAAACAGGAAAAGCTGCTGAATCTGAAATGCAGAGAGAGACAGAAAGAAAGAGTGAGTGTAATAGCTCTAGTTTTCCAAAAATAATTCAAACCACAGCAACTGGAAAAACATCTGCAATGCAAAGAATTAAAGCAAAGTGTATATGGTGTCTGTTTTTCCTTCACAAAGGGAAAAACTAATGAAAATCTCATTAGATTCTTCCTACCAGTGTCAAAGCCCTTTGAGATAATCTGTGGCTAAAACAAGTAAACTTCAGGTTTTTAAAAAAAAAAAGGGGGGGAGTGGGAGAGAATAATTAAAAATAACACTTGCACAGTTTTTCCTGTTCAGCATTAATATTCTAAAAAAGTTTTTATTTTTGCAAAAAGCTGGCAAAGACTGGCCTATTCTCGCCTCCATTTCCCAGCTTTCCAAAGAGCACATCTGACTGCCATAAAAATGCAAAAAGATATTTAATTCAAGAGCTGCATAAAGTCTAGCTGCCTTTTCCCTGCTGTTTCACAGCATTTCATTATTTTGTTTAATAAGTTCATCTCCTTGAGAATTTTCTTTTCACCTTATATTATTAAAAGTAATATGTTTTTATGGATTGGGGGTTTCCCAACAGAAAAACTAATTTGTGTGTGTCCTTCAAATAATGACAGGAAAAGATTATTTCCCATTGTATTGCACACTTTTCATATCACTACCACAGCTTATCATTCAATAAATGTTACTCTGCAACCTGTTCCTTTCCTTGAAAAAGTTTAATTTCTGTATTAACCTGTTTTTGCCAGCTCACGCCTTGCTAGAAAGCTTCTGTACAGCAGCAGAATTAGTTTGTTAAAGAAACCATTTAGAAATCTCTTGTCACTGATAAAATTGTCTTCAGTTAATAGAAGGATGTAAAGTCGGTTTACATCTAATTCTCTCTCTCTCTCTCTCTCTCACACACACACACTGTCTCTTAATAGCACATTTTAAACTGAGAATGAATTATGTTAAAATGAAAGGTAAATTAAATGATTATATTAATTAAATGTAAAAATCTTATAGTAATGCAGTGTGAAAGGGCAAATCCTGACTTCTGGCACACAGCTCATGGAACTGGGATCTGTACTGAGGACAGCCACAGGGGCTGAAGGTGGGAGGAATCCCCTCCATCACAGAGAAGGTTACAGAGAAGGTGTTACTCTAGCCACATGGCTGCAGAAGCCCCCATAGCCGTTACATACACACACACACGTGCGGGGAAATAGTCAATGGAGTCACATAGGCTTCATCTAGACTAGGATAAAAGGTGTGTTGTTAGAATATACCATGTTCTAACACCACATCTTTAAAATCCTAGTCTAGCCAAGGCCAGAGCTGTGGATAATTGGACCAGATTTTCTGTTACACTAATGCCCACGTAGGCTATTCTGGCAGCCTAAATGGACCTTAAAGGGAGTGGAAATGGTCTCTTGAGACTACTGCCTGTGCCAGGGGCCTTCCCAGCTGACATAAGGGCAGAGGGAGGGGTGAGCCAGCGATGGAGAGGGGATGTAATGGGAGTACTGTACTATAGCTATTTTCTGCTTTCCGGGGACCATGGGAGGAGACGAAGCACACGTAAGAGCAGTTCTGAGGTTGTTTCAACTTAACTTGGGGTTTGCACAGGCCCCCAACTGCCCCAGAACACAGGAAAAGGAAAGGTGGCTTAGAGCTTCCTTTGGCCACCTTCCTCTTCCATTACTGTTGCAAGTACAGGAACAGATGAATGGAAAATTGGATCTGCCCCAAGTCTCTGCTCCACAGTGATACGGAAGGACAGCAGTAGTAAACATCCTGTGTGAGCTCTCAGCAGCCTGTTCCCCACTCATACCAGTTCTGCTGCAGAACTTACACTCTGCCTTTCACGGCTGGTGGGAAACCCTACATGGCCAAGAAGAAAGCAGTAGAATTTGTACTTGGGGTGAGAATATAAAATAATCAAGTAAGTAAAATGTTGTAGCTTCTGACAAGTATTGTATGTGTTGGGTCAATTCTCAACTGATGTAAATCTGTGCTGTTCCATAAACTTCAATGGATCTAGGCCAATTTCCATCAGCTGAGGATCTCTCCCATTGTTTATTAAAATTCACATTTATACAGCCTAACTAGTACACCAAAACACTATACATATGCAATGGGGACTGAATGGATGCTGCACAAATTTTCCCAGGGGGAAAAATTCCTCTTAACTGAGACTTAACATGGGAAGTTTCAGCTAAAGAGGAACATTTTTATAAGGAAGTAGAAAGAGGCAGCTATAAGGAAAGTTGAGTTGCACCTTGTCCTATATGAAAGCTAAGATATATGTTAATCAATCAATCATATGTTCTGTATTTTGAAAATATTCAGGTTTTACCTCAACTTCTCAATGACACAGTTTTTATTTACACAAAAGATTCCGATAGTAAGAATTACCTTGTTGCCAGTTTTCCAGTAGAAATCTCTAACGGCTCGCACCATGACTATGCCTACTGGAAGGGTGGCATTAACTGCTTCTTTTCCTGTAGAGGTCTTAATGAAATCAGCACCTTAAAAAAACCAGAACACTCCATGGTAGTTTTATAAAAACAGCAATTCTTTGAATATATATATCTATATATATATATATCTTCTCATCCAAGGATCTCATTATGTTTTACAATCATTATTAAGCCGTACATCATCCCTGTAAGGTAGACATTATCCCTATTGTACAGCTAGGGAACCTCAACCACAGTAAGGTTAAGAGTCCTGTTCAAAGTTTTAGAGCAACTCAGAACAACCACCAGGGGACAGAACCTAGGCATTTCTACTCCTAGTTCCTGTCTCTAGCCATCAGAACAAAATCTGTCTTTGCTCATGTGTCAATCAGCTAATGTTATGATATACAACATTTAAATGCATGGTCAGTAACGTATGTAGGCATTAAGAAAACATTCCAAAGAAGCGGACAGTTAGCCTTGGTCCCTGGCTTATTTCACTCTGCATTTTCATTTGAATACAATGTTATTCTTCACTTTGTTGCCTGAGCTCTTGTGAAGTGTTGGTTGTACCCAGCTGCATTTCAGTGTTGTCTTAAGTGAATTCTGCAACACAGTACTCAGTTTGCAAAATACTACTTTTTTTTTTTTTTTTGAGGGGGGAAGAGTGTAGGTACAGCCAGGTGTCTGATGCTGCTCCCATACAGTTCAATGACATCACTCCCACTGACTTCAGTGCAGCAGGCTGGAGCCCTGGGAACTGCAGGCTCTTTAACTAGCAAAAGTAGTCCGGGAGACCAATTCAACCATAGGGTAAGACTGCAGCTCCCATTTAAATCAAATTACATCTGCTTACACCTCAACATCAAATTTAGCTCAGGGTCTGGTTTATCTCTCATCCGAACGGTGGCATCTCCAACAGCACAATGCCTTCTAGCAGTAATCTGGAGCAGTTTCACTAGGAGAGCAAAGCAAAGGAGGCCATCTCTTGAATCATTAACACCACATCCCACAACACCATGGGTTTCCTTGTAAGTTTCCCATTCAAGTACTGAACAGACCAATTGCTGTGTAAACTGTGTAATCTGATGAAGATCACATTTTGATCAGATGGGGCAACATAGAAACTCTTCTTAACACCATGGGGATGCAATTTAAAGTAAAGGGCAAATAACAATTTACTTTATCCACCTTAATTTTTCGCAAAGTTCAGTCATCTCTTTTATTGGACCAACTTCTGTTTGTTTTTTCCAACAACAGAAGTTGGTCCAATAAAAGATTTTTAGCTAATCCCTCTTGTCTCTCTAGTATCCTGGAAACAACATCACTACAACAACACTGCAAACAAAGAATTAAGGTCACCCACGTTATATACTTTGGGGCCACTCCCACTGAAGTCAGAGTTTTTCCTTCTGATTTAAAAGGGAGCAGGATTGAGCCCACTGTATACACTTGATGGTCACATCTTTTTTTTTAAATAGAAATCAAACTTTAACATTATCAAATTTTAGTTTTTTCAGTTTTTCTTTTAAGTGCAGAATTTAAGTCCTTCAGTACAATACTCCCCCCCCCGCCCATTACAAGGTAAATCAAAGCTTTTATAAGTCTTATAATTACAAGTCTCTATGGTACAGTTTCATTAAAAACTTTCATTAAACAACAGCTGCCCTTGTATATGGTCTTCTAATCAATTTGGTCAAACAGAATGACTTCTAATCAGCTGTTGATAAAAATAGAAGATGAAATTTTAATTCTAATAGATTAACCACAAACTCAAGACCGTCTTCAAAATCCATCTAGCTCCATTCTCCAGTGGATTTAACGACTATTCAGCAACTCATTACTAAATAGAACAAGATGAACATTTTCCAGTTCATTAAAGAAATGTACTATGTATTTTTGCATTGTCCTCAAGATTCGTTACAGGGAGTCTTAATTACAAGATAATGGATAATGGTTATTAAATGCAGACGCCAGTAATGAAGCTCTATTCATTTGCGAGCCTCAGAGACTGCAAATAGGGGAAAATAAAATTACTAGCTTCAAAAGATTAACGGATCAAATTATTATTCAATTTTGAAAATTTCATTGACTTCATAGAAACAAGAAGAGATTAAAAACTATTATTAGTACAAAAGTAATGCATTTATTTATTTATTTTTAAATAATATCTTAAGGCTATTATCAGAATAATCAGCTTTTGGATGTGATTATTAGACAAACATACAGCCAATTTAGCATCATCTCCTAACAACGAAAACAATACACTGTTTTTTCATGAACAAATTCTATTTATGATACAAGAGCTTCTAGCAGGATTCCATAAAGAATCTTGCGGAACCCAGAAGATGTATGCTATCAGAAAGCACTACAGTGTAAGGCATTACTAACATTTTATATTTCACTTATGAAAAAAAGGGATTTAAAAATCGACCACTGCTTTAAGGAGCATGGCATTAAGTGGAATTCATGCCAACCTTGTAATTGGAGTTTCTGGTGACATTATTCAAACACCAAAACAAAACAAAACAAAAAACAAGCTATTGACAAAAGTTCAGCAAGAGTTTTATCTGGTGATTCAGATAATTTTGAACCTATAACCATCATCCAGCCACCCTTTTATGAATGCACATACACAAAGGCAAGTTTTCAAATACATTTCTAAATAGCTTGTGAATTAGAAAGTGACTCAATGAAATACTAAGGCTAAGATCTTCAAAAAAGGGTGCCTAAAATTAGGCTTCTAGGTCCAGATCCTCAAACATATGTAGGTGCCTAAGTCGTTTGGCACCTAAATATCTTTGAGGATCTGGGCCTTAGGTCCCTCTATAGGCCCTGATTCCAGAACATGCAGAGCACAGGTGGAAGGCTGTGCCAATGCAGAACCATTTTGTTTAGGTATTTCTATGGAGCTTGAAGGGAGTTAGACACCCAATTCCCATTGCATTTTAATGGGATTTGGGTGCCCAAAATCCTTAGCTAGCTTTGAAAATCCCAGCCATTGACTTCTGTGGAGTTTTGTGCATGCTCAGTAGTATGCCTGCATGCTATATTATACATAGGGCCATACCAAATTCATGGTCCATTTTGGTCAATTTCACAGTCATAGGATTTTAAAAATTGTAAATGTCATGATTTCAGCTATTTAAATCTGAAATTTTATGGCATTGTAACTGCAGGGGCCTGATCCAAAAGGGGGCCGTGGGGAGATCGCAAGGTTATTGTGGAGGGGTCACAGTATCGTCACTCTTACTTCTGAGCTGCTGCTGACGGCAGCGCTGCCTTCGGAGCTGGGTGGCCAAGAGCCCAGCTCTGAAGGCAGGGCCACTGCCAGCAGCAGCACAGAAGTAAGGATGGCCTGGTATGGTGTTGCCACCCTTACTTCTGCTTTGCTGCTGGCGGGGCGCTGCCTTCAGAGCTGGGTGCCTGGCCAACAGCCACTGCTCTCTGGCCACCAAGCTCTGAAGGCAGCACAGAAGTAAGGGTGGCAATACCTACATTAACCTTGCAAACCCCCCACCCCACCCCCTGCAACCCTATTTGGGTCAGGACCCCCAATTTGAGAAACGCTGGTCTCTCCCATGAAATCTGTATAGTATAGGGTAAAGTACACAAAAGACCAGATTTCATGGTCTGTGACCCATTTTTCATGACCGGGAATTTGGTAGGGCCCTAATTATACAGAACCAGGGACTATGGTGCTAACTATGTGTTCTAACTTACAAAACACTGATTACCTGCACTTTTGAAAATCCCATTAGCTACACTGGGAGCTGCTAGATCAGGCCACATATTTAGGTGCCTCAGTGTGGACTTAGGAACCTATATCTTTAAAAAAAAAACCCTTGACAAAAGGGTTCAAACATCTGTTATTAGAGCAGAATAATTTGCAACACTGTGGTTACAAGAGAGAGAGAGAGCCTTCTAAGTATCTCGTTCTGAAGGATTTAATTATTTATTTTGGTGGTGTAACGGGAGTGTGATGGAATGTCTACCCCACACAAGACTGGAAGGGGTTAAGAAGGCCAGGCAGGACAACTAACTCCACAGGCTGCATCTGGAAGGGGAGCCAAGGAGCAGGAAATTGAAAACAGGCACAGCTGGGCAGGAACAGACAGGGTCCATAAAGCCAGGAAGCTGTCAACAGACAAAGAAAGACTGAAGGAAGACTTTGGGACCCCTGAAGGGGGAAATACAGAGATAGTACTGAGCCAGAGGGCTGAGTCATGAAAAGGAGGCTGCCGTTTCTGGAGCGAGAGGGGTCACAGGAGGAGAGGACGGTGAGAAAGACACCACCAGAGGAAGGCACAATACTTGGCTCAAGCAAATCTCTAAAATGACCAGCAGGAGGTGCCACCAGCAGTGAGTGGAGATACTGCTATTTAGTACAGTTTCAAAAGCAAAAAAGTGTACTTTTCAAAAGAAAAGCTTTGTGAGCCAGAAATAAATGCAATACCTAGTAAGGATGGTTTAGCAGCATCCAGGCATAAGGATGAGCTCTACATCTACACTGTCTATCTTAGGTACTTGTATGGCCCCATTACTGTAGTAACTGAGAGCATCACAAGCTTTAATGTATTTATCCTCACAATACTCCCCTGAGGTCGGGCAGTGCTATTATCCCCATTGTAGAGATGGGAACTGAACAGAGAGTCTAACTCACTTGCCCAAGGCCAATCTATGGCAGAGCAGGGAATTGAACACCAAGACTCCCAGGTACTAGGCCTAACCACTGGACGATCCTTTCGTACTTTCCCAATTCATTTCACATGGCAAAGATCCCTCATATCATGTAAATGTAATTAAGCAGCTGCTTAACACTGTTGAATGTTGTTTAGATTACAGTAGTCAGGAACAATATTATGTTTCTATAATTACGCAATAAGAAATAATAAGCAGTGTAGCAATCACGGCGTAATCACAACCTTTGGGTTGCAAAGCACCTCAGATGCCTTGGGGGCATGATTATCTCCTGATAACTGCATACTGCTTGTAGTTGTCTTAGTCTTAATAAAGAACAAAGATGTGGCAGGCAGTTTAAAATAATAGCAATTTTACTGCAATTCTCT